GGAGAGCATTCATGAGGTCTCCATGGAACTGCCCACTCCGTGAGGAGTGAAGTGGTGCCAGCCAGAGTGTTGTGAAGAATGGCATAATCAATGGTGTTGCCTGAAAGGACACTATAATCTGGCGTTAAGATCCCAAACTGGAATTTTGCTGGAAGCACCGTACTTGCTAGAGCACTGGGTGGGTTCTGCCAGTCTCCTATGACCACATATGGATGGGTGGTATGCGTCAACAGTGCCAGCAACTTTGCCAAAATGGCAGAGTTTGTGTCACTTTGCAGGGTCTCTCCAGTTCGAAGATAGAGTCCAATGACCAGGATCGTTGTTTCCGTTGCCTGCCATAAGAAACTTTGAAAGCCACAGCCTTGGATGGTGAAGTCTTCAAACTGCGTGAGTCCACTTGCTGGGTCTGCCAACACCAGTAGTCCTCCATGGGTGCCAGTGTTGTCCTGGTTCGTGGCTGCTGGGGTCCCAAAAGCAGTTCGACCTCTGATAGTGAAGTACTGACAGAGCTCATAGTGTTTCTGTGGGTCCAAGTGTGTTTCCACAAGGATGTAAATGCCACTTTCTCTGGTCCAGTACCAGTCGATCACCTGGCGGCCCATGTGGGTGACATTGCCGAAGTGAAGGACGTTGTGGTCCTGTGTATACCTGGCTCGCTTCGTTGGACTTGGATGGAGTGGAGGATCAAAATCCGGTTCCTCAGGCTTGGGAAGTCCATGCAGGACTTGCTGCGGAGTTTTGAAACAGTCCATACTGACTGCCCAGACTTGAGTGATTTGGCTGGCTAGACTGGGCGTGAGATGTGGAAGGTGAGTGGGTACCTTCCCATCGTCAGCTATCCACATCAGGTCCCTGTAAATGAGGATTGCAAAGTAGTGCCCTTCCTGATGTGTCTGGCCTCTGTGGCAGATGAGAACTGCAGGCACGAACTCTGTGGAAGTTCGTGCAAAACCATCAAGTGACCTGGGCATGGTGAATGTGCCATAGGGATTGAGCGGCTTGCTGTGTTTGGTCGGCAGACCTTCAACGGTGGTGTTCCTGGTCACATGTATGTATGTATGTATGTATGCATGTATGTATGTATGTATGTATGTATGATTATGTATGATTATGTATGTATGTAACGTAATGTTTTGTTATGTTATGTATGTATGTAGGTACGTAGGTATGTAGGTATGTATGTATGTAGGTAGGTATGTATGTATGTATGTATCTACCCTTCTCAGGCAAACTCTGCCGGACACAAGCAGAGGAAGGTATGCTCAACAAAACCAGTGACTGCACCGCAGGCCACCCCGCATATCCACTTCAGGCTCTCATCATCTCGCTCATCATTCGAATCCAAAACTCTACCTTCCTTTGTGTGTGGTAATCTACGTTTAGATGTATGCGCTCCACCTCTTCAATCTATATTTGTTTGTTTTCCCGAATGCGTAGCGAAGGGTTCCCGTTTATAGTTGGGGGTCTGGGGGTTGGAGCTGTGTTTGCATGGCTTGCGCCGTGTCGTCGTCTCTCGTCGTCTCTCGTCGTTTGTCGTCGTCTCTCGTCGTCGTCGCGTCTCAAATTTGCTGCCATTGGGGAAAGCTTTTGCAAGTGACTTTTCATGGATGTGTCACGTGTCAGTTTGCGCCGCTATTCCATTGTGATTTGCATGACACCGACATGTCGCGCAAGAAACGTGATGCATTTCGCTGCACAGGCGCAGCGTTTTGTGAGATCCGCAGTTTGCTGCGCAGTGCCATTGGGATTAGCGTTTGGAGAGTCGTGTTTTTGGGGTCTTGGATGTGGCCGTGCCATTAGGATTTGCGTTTCAGGGTGTGGCATCGAAGCTCGGTTTTCGTGACAAGTCTCAGCTGAAATGGCGATTTTGGTGGATGGGAGTGTGCTCTGAACGGGTCGAAATCATTCCAAACGTGTGGTGCGGTGCAAATCTTGTTGAAGCTCACATGCGATGATATTGTCACTTTTCGTGGCAGGCGCAGGACTTCGTGCGGGTTTTGAGGCGTGGAAGTGCGATTCTCGTGGCAGGCACAGGGAATCGTGAGGTTGCGAGGTGTGAGGGAGGTGACATTGCGTGGCAGGCGCAGTACTTTGTGCGCGTTAGATGTGTGGATGGGGAAAGATTCGTGGCAGGCGCAGGGAATCGTGAGGTTGTGAGTTGTGGTAGAGGTGAATGTCGCTGTCACATTGGGATTGGCGCGTGAGCGGATGTTGTTTGGAGGGGCTGGAATCGCGAAACTGCTTGGCAGGGCTGCGTGATGTGTGTGCTCCGATGGGTGTTTCCGCTTGACTTTTGGAGGAAGTCTCGAAAGAAACGCTCGTTTTGCAGACTTTGACGTGTGAGTTTTTGAGGAAGTCTCGTACGAAACGCTCGTTTTGGAGACTTGACGCGCAACCCTCTGCGGAGATCGTGCGTGTCGAGTGTGCGAAATGCAGGCGAGAGTGCGATTTGACCCATGCGCGCGCAACCCTCTGCGGAGATCGTGCGTGTCGAGTGCGCGAAATGCAGGCGAGAGTGCGATTTGCCCCATGCGCACGCAACCCTCTGCGGAGATCGTGCGTGTCGAGTGCGCGAAATGCAGGCGAGAGTGCGATTTGTCCGGTGCCCGCGCAACCCTCTGCGGAGATCGTGCGTGTCGAGCGCGCGAAATGCAGGCGAGCACTGGTGACTTTGTAGTACAACTTGAGTACGCGGAGCAATCTGTGGAGCTGGAAGCTGAGAACTGGCGACCTTGTAGTGCAACTGTAGTACGCGGAGTATCTGGGGAGCTGGAAGCTGAGAACTGGCGACCTTGTAGTACAACTTTAGTACGCGGAGTATCTGGGGAGCTGGAAGAGAGTCCCACAAGAGTGTCCCAACAGTGTCCCGCTACATTGTCTCACAAGAGTGTCCCTTGTTTAAAGGAGTATCCCACAAGAGTGTCCTACAAGAGTGTCCCACAAGAGTGTCCCACAAGAGTGTCCTACAAGACTGTCCCACAAGAGTATCCTACAAGAGTGTCCCACAAGAGAGTCCCACAAGAGTGTCCCACAGAGTGTCCCACAAGAGTGTCCCACAAGAGTTTCCTACAAGAGTGTCCCGTAAGAGTGTCCTACAAGAGTGTCCTACAAGAGTGTCCCACAAGAGTGTCCTATAAGAGTGTCCCACAAGAGTGTCCTACAAGAGTGTCCCACAAGAGTTTCGTACAAGAGTGTCGCACAAGAGTGTCCCACAAGAGTGTCCCACAAGAGTGTCCTACAAGAGTGTCCCACAAGAGTGTCCCACAAGAGTGTCCCACAAGAGT